GGCTCTTCTTTAATTTCTTCCCATTTTCCGTTTTAAGACTTGACCTTATTCGACTAGGTATATACTTATATCTCTTAAAAATAATTACATCCGTATACATTCGAGTGGCCGCAATATGTTAGAAAATTTTTAGCAATGGTAGTATTGATGAGCGCCGGGATGAAAAAGTTTATATTTTACGCAAAAAAATTTCTTGAAAATCTTGAAACCTCTCCGAGAAATAATTGATGGACCCAAAAGGTGGTTAAGTTGATCAAAGGAAATCTTATTGAAGTTGATTTTGTTTTGTTGCTATATAGAAAATATTTAGAAATAATTTACCCTTATGACACATGGCAACCCCGTGCTTATATAAAAAACATATAACGACACTGTGCTTGAAGGAAACCGTTATCATATGAATTACAATGCTTCAAGATTTTGTGCCAAACTTACTCATTTACGTGCTAATTTCGAGTTTTACAAACGAATCATCTAATCGTTTCGTCAGTTGAAACACGCAAAACTGATGAGCAACAACGGAAAATTGCTTTGATTGGACATGTATCACGCCAAATTTTAGGAGCCAAATTACCGTCAAACAGACAGGTTTCTAAACTCAAAAGAAAGTGCAAAGCTACCCTACAAGAAAAGGATATTTTGGACTGACCGATTCTCAATACACTCAAATAAAAACCAATACACATAAAGAACGCTGTAAACATGGCCCTACAATTTTAAGGCAGTAAAACAGAGACCTTAAGTTAACATCAATCAAGGTCATATGATGAAAAGGGATGCAAAATTACAAGTACAAAAGAGAACTGGTCAGATTTTTCAGAAATTCCTTCAATTCTAACGTAAAATATGATGCCAAAAGGCTGCAGATCTCCCAGTCAGATGACAAGTCATATGACCGGCAGATGTCTTGTAGGGTAGCGATTGATGCTGCGTCGGTATTTTGGAAACAAGCGCGTATACCAATCCGCGATCCTCATAAATGCGCCGGCAAGCTTTTAAAAATGTACGAAGATTGGAAAACTTTCAACAAAGTTAAGGCGGGAAAGATAGCAGCCGCAATGAAGAAAAAATTTGATGTTTTCATAAGCGCTTTGGACGATATTTTTGACTTTGCGGCTTGCGATGCATTGAGAAAGATGAGGAAGGAAGAGGGCAAAGTGTTCTTGGAAAAGCAGCGGCAGAGAGTTCAATGTTTAGCATTATTGAGAAATTGAGAATAGAAAGGGAAGAAGCAGGTATATCAAAACATGTTGAAACGCCAAAATTGGAAAAATTTGTAAATAATATATTAATTACTCTTGTGTATTATAATTATATATATTTTTATCGAAATCAAATCTTTTCCTCACTAAAATCTTCTTCGAAAATTAAACCAAAATTGAATTTGAGTCCATGGAAATATATACTGATGATTTTGTCGATGAATATACTGGTGAAGAACCCACACTACAAGTACAGCTAAAACACACTCAAATACGCGGGGATTATAAGGACCTCTTGGAACTTTCTATGACGTTCCTTGATGACGACGGCGGTGTCCTTCGAACATGTGGTGCGACATCTCATGCAGGCTTTATGTCGAAAGCAATATATTGTGTAAAAATGTTTACATTTCGTGCCCAGTTTAATATGACTTCGAGAGAGTTTAGATGTATTCGGGATATGTAAATTTTTGTCGTTAAGCTTTATATCAAGGTATGGTATAGGGGCACTAATTCTACTTAGTGTCCCAATCAAGATTTGAATTTTTTACGTGCTGTTTCCAAGTATTCCGAAATCGATAAAATTGTGTCTTAAGCGGTATTTGATAAAGAATCACTTGTGGTATCTAACCCTAGAAACGGTGGGGCTATCATTTTTCGCTTCCAGCGTTTCACTCGAAATTAAACGAAAAATGGCGAATCGTTTAAAAGAAAAGGATCCTGTTGTAGCTTTTGTCAAATACCGCACGTTTGCAAATGTGCAACATTTGTTAAAATATGATTTATCTGATTTTGTGTCTTATAAAACAAGTTTTTGTTTTCCAATTTCGAGATTCAATGTGACTTTCTTCAGCTCGAGCCAGCCGTAAGGAAAGGCAATGAGGAATAACAGACAGCTTTGGAATTCCTTCAAAATGTACTCGTCGTAAACGACACTGCGGAGCGTGGCGTCAAGTTTATGGAAGGTTATAACCAGTGTTGCGATTTGGTAAATTATTACCGAAATTGGTAGAAAAAATTTGGGTTGGTAAAAAGGTAAATTTTTTCTCATTTTGGTAGATGTTTGAAAAAGAAATACAATTTTAGTTCCTGCTTAATTTTTGGTAGTCATCTTTATATTATAAATTACTTTCCAAAAGTGTAGTCTACTTTATTGCATTAATGTTCGAACGCTTTCGATAAAAGGCGAGCATCTCGTGCTCCTTTCAAAACTTGTTTTTCTGGAATCCTGAGGTGCTTTTGATTTTAAACATTTTGAATGATTCTTTAAATAAAAAGTAAAAATGGACAGGTATGTAATTACACGATATGATTGTTCGGTATAAAACAGCATACCCAAAATTGTTTTAAAAATTCAGAGTAAAAAGTTCGAAATTTAGACAAAATGTTTTTGAATTTGAATATTACCTACCTGCAGGCAAAACCATACAGCGACAATATAGCGGATGTTAATATCGAGACAGCGAAGATGAACCTGCTTCTAAAAAAAGGACACCATGGCATTTCTAGAAATTAATCATCGACGAAAATCACACTACCTAACATAAAAGAATATAAATCAAGGACAAAAACTCGAACCAGACAGAACGAAAAATGACACTGAAGATGGCACAACGCCGAAACCGGTTTGTCTGCAAACCAAGCTTGACAAGGGATGACGGAAATTTGGTCCAAAATAAATCATTAAAAAGTACATAGGGAATTTTTTTTGAGGCACTGTATTTGTCTATAATAACTCCAGTTGAAGTTTTTTAAATTATGAAGTTTCGTTGTTGCTTTTAATTTCATCACTTTCGTTTTTGGTTGAAGAAAACCGAGCAGATTCTATTAATATGATCTCAAATACCACATCATTTAGTCAAATAAAAATTTCCTTAAAAAACAATTTAAAAATAGGTAACTAAAATAGTTATTGGTAGATATTTTCCAGATTTAGTCGATTTTTTTCGAGTGGATGGTAAGTATATTTTTTTGTTCAGTGGCAACCCTGGTTATAACCGTATTTTAACATGCGATGAAGAAGAACCTCAGTTTATATTGCAAGTTGTTGACTCATATCGCAAAAAATTTCCATCACATTAAAAATCGGCATAATAGTATTTGCGTATTTTATGCACCTTGTATGAGAAAAATAAGTAAGTTCAACTTTAACCAACTTTTGGGTCCATCAAAAATTCCCGGATCGGTGATAAATTTTCCAGTTGGCGTTTTAGGTAAAATAGAAGCCGTTTCAACCCGGCACTCATTGACATTAAGTGATGTTACAAAAATGGCCAGGCTAGAATACATACATATGTATATATGATTTTAGCACTCTATATATATAAGCATATAAATACCTGTTTATCGTTACTTCTGCATCACCGCTTTAAGGTAAATCTTAGTATCCAGCTTAGAGGAAAAAGTTCAAGAAAAACTAGGCATATGTGAATCAAGGCGGATAAGTAGTTTTCACGTTTTATTTCTTATATTATTTGCTATTACATTATGTTGTATATTATTTCTTCAAGAAATTTATACGGTCATATTTATTTCTTCGCAGAGTTTGCGTTGCCATATTCATATTTTACTTAGAAAAAAATTAGAAAAATGGGAATATATACTTTTCTTTGAGAGCTGAGTACTGCCTTAAGTAAATTTGACACAATAATATTTCTTCGTCATTCTTCAGTTTTTTATATAGAGTGCTTTTCTTAAGAGCTGGATACTAAGCGTTATATTACGTTCTCATTGAGCCTTTAACTCGAGTTTAACGTTTCGAGTTTATGAACTACTGTCAAGCGTTCACATTGCGGTGTTTAAGAAACTCGGATATTAATTTGACATTTTTTTTTTGTTTATTTTTTCTTATTCTCATTTAGTCTGTTCCCGTATTACAGGATTTAACACACACACACATTAGCCTAGAATAGCAACCGTTTAGCTATAAAAAAACACGAAATGACGATCGATAGAACTTTTTACGCTAATTTCAACTATATCAAAATTATTTGGTTCATATAAAAACCAAAGCCAACAAAAGAGGTTAAAGTTCAACTTATATATTTCTTATGTGTTTAATATCTCGGAGACTACTAAACCGATTAAAAAATTGTTGATGCTAATTTCAACATAACTTAAATGCCTTTTATGCGACGTATTGCAACTAATTTTATATAAACGCCATTTAAAGAAATATATTTTTATTTTATTTTGTTTTTTAGTATTTCCGGACTAAAATTATAAAACAATCATATAAGTTATATACATACGTGAAAGACAAATTAATTACCGTTATTTTGACGCCATTAGTTTTTTAATAGGTTATGTTCAGAAGATATTACTATTTAAAAAAATCAGAAAATTTAACTTTAACCATTGATATCTTCTTTATACTTTACTTTCGCCAGATAATTTTTGAAAATTTTTTTTTGAAATCAGCACAAAAGTTTCTATCGAGCCACACTTTTTTGCATCGCTAGATTGTTGATATTTTAGACTTACATATGTGTACACAACGACCTCGGACTAATTCAGATTAAATCCTGCAGTACGGGAACAGACTAACTGTCGGCAAGTTGGTTGCAGGTTTGGATTATCAAAGATACAAACCAAATCGGGTGAAAAAGGTTGCATTCGCATAAACTCCAAATAAAAGTAGTGTTTAAAGAGAGTTTAACGAGTTTAACGAAATTTTTGGTATTCCAAAATTCCAAAATTCCAAAATGGCCCATAAACTCGAGTTAATGCCTCAATGAGAACGCTTTATTAGGCAGTAATGATTAAACTCAGTAATACTCAATATAATTTACTTAACAGATATTCAATGCTATGAAAAAAGTGGCACCAAAATTTCGTCATCAGTTTCAAGGCATAGCCGGCGACTGTATGTTACCAGGTTTGGGTCTGAGTCAAGAAGACCGAAAGCTTTTGATCCAGCGTGTTAACATCGTTTTTCACATGGCAGCAACAGTTCGATTTGACGAGAAACTAAAAGTGGCTATGCAAATAAATGTGAAAGCAGCACGGGATATCATGTTACTTTGCAGTGAAATGAAGCAATTGAAAAGTATACTGCATGTGTCCACAGCATATACTCAATGCCCACTACGACAAATTGATGAAAAGTTTTATCCTCCGCCTAGTAATTCCGAAAACCTAATACTACTTACAGAGTGCACACCGGAGAACCTGTTGGAATCAATGACGCCTCTGTAAGTTCGTTCATATTTCGCAGATCTTCAAATAAAATCGCGTGTTTTCTATGCATCTTCCAGACTATTAGGCAAATGGCCAAACACTTACACCTTCACAAAAGCTGTTGCAGAGGACATAATTAAAACCTATGGTAAAAATTTGCCAGTAGGCATGTTTCGACCTGGCATCGGTAAATCTGTTAATAGATTTTGTTTTTTAATCCTAGCATTTCAAACCGGTTTTTTTTATTTAACAGTTATATCTACTTACCGAGATCCTGTTTGCGGTTGGATTGATAACTTTTATGGCCCAACGGGAGCCATTGCCGGTGCTGGCACGGGAGTCATTCGTACATTACGATGTGATCCAAGAGCTGTGGCTAATATGGTGCCGGTGGATTTGTGTGTAAATAGTATTATTGCCGCAACGTGGGACATATCACAAAGACACAAGTAAAAACATTATTCGACCAAATAAGTATATCTGGTTCTAAAGTAATATAGGACTCCTTAGAATAGTGATGATCCCTTTATTCTCTAGGCGCCCTTTAAAGTACTATATACAAATCTTCCCCCCGGGATATGATTTGGTCGGCAGTCACTTGCCCGAGTTAAGCTGTCATATTAACCAAAAGTGCTTTTGTTATAGTAAAGGTTTTGTTCTGGTCTTAATTGGTAATACTTTAAAATTTCATCATCAAAACAAAATCCACGGAAATATCATAATAACACAGACCTCCGAAATTAAAATTTTTTTTCCCTTCCAATAATTGTGTTAATTTTTATATATCATATCTTGTATGTTGTATGTTGTATGTCTTTCTTGCGCGTCGAAATTTATTTTTATTAATGACATGCATATTTTAAAGTTTTTAGCAATTTGCATGAAAATTCAAAAATTAATTAATATAAAATTAACTTTTTGTTCAAAAAAACTAACAGTATTAGTTAAAAGAAATCCTTAAAGAGACTAAGGAAATCAGATAAGTGTTTGCAATTTCGTTGTTAATAATAATAATAATAATTAGTGTTTGGCCGAGCTTCTCCTCCGATTTGTGGCGTGCGCCTTGATGTTGTCACACAAAGGGGAGGGACCTACAGTTTTACGCCGCCTCCGAATGCCGATTATATTTTTATGAGAAGCTGTTTTTCGTGGCAGAAATACGCTCGGAGATTTGCCATTGACTGCCGAGGGGGTGATCACTATTAGAAAAAAACCATTTGTGCTCTTTTATTTTGTGATCTTGAACCGGGCTTGATAGATAGATAGTTAGTTAGGTATAGTACTGCGACGGGTAGGCCTATTATGCCCTTAGCTCATCACAACACGTCGACCAGCCCCAGAGACTCTAAAAAATTCATAATAAATACCGGGGAAAGTGAGTGTATGTGCCCCTCTCTTGGCCACAGGTACCCTATACTCCTATTTCTCCTGCGTGAAACGGCCTCACACTCCATAAGAAGGTGTAAAATAGTCTCCTTGGCCGCATCGCAGAAGCAACACAGGTCACTGGACCAAATTACCAGTTTATATAGGTGCACTCTAAGCCTGCAATGGCTCGTCAAAAACCTTCTCATTATTCTTAGTTTCTCCTTACGTAGACCCATAGTGTTACGTAGATCCATAGTGTTATGCCAGTGCAGTTCTCTTAGTTTGGTATTTTCTTTATGAGCATTTCCTTTACGCCGTAAAGTTTACGGTGTTGTGTCCCACTGCAAAGAAGGGCTCAGGTCCTATCGGGGTCGAGGCAGCGGCCATTTTGGCCAGATGATCAGCTTCCTCATTACCTGCGACCCCCCAGAGCATTAAGCCTCTCTACACACTCCAAAATCAAGGAGGATTAGATCTCGAATGATGAGGGAGCCATAAGTGCCGCCTGACTATCGCTTAGTATGAGTACCCTTTCGTTCCTATAATTTCTGCGAATGTTAATCTCAGCAAACATACTAATGGCGTAGACCTCCGCTTGAAAGATGCTAGGGATGGTTCCCAGGGGCACCGAAAGCTTCAGCCTAGGGCCGTACACGCCACCTCCAATTCCTTCCGGTGCTTTAGAGCCATCAGTGTACCACTGTAGTGTGGGCGTCTGTATTTGACTCTTCATAATGCAGGTACACCAGGTCGCCTTGTTGTAGGTGTGGGTCTTGAAGTTTCTTTTAAGACCGCCTCCCTGTTAATGCCGCCCCTGGGGAACAAAGCTAGGGGGAGCTGGGTGCCTATCTTGTCGCTGTTCCTAGATAATAATTAGCTTGCCTTTGCCGAATCCCTCCATCTGAGGATCCTCGGAGAGCACCCCAAGATTTTCCCGCAAGACATTTACACACCATCATCGCTGTCGTAGCCGCATCAACATGTGTCCTCCACAGCTGCTTGGAGTCCTGGGTAAGCCCCATATACTTAACCTCTGTTTTTTTCCTGTGGTCTCTCCACGCTAACTGCGCTTTGAGATATGTATTATTTTCTCAATTCATATAACAATGTTGCGCTACTTACTAAAATATTTTAACAAGTTAAGTTCAAACCTTTAAAATAACACTGCCTGCGAATGGATAAAGGCTAAAAAAATGTAAATATTTTCTATTGGTTACATGTAATACAAACAAAAGTGAGAAACAGTATTATTCATTTAATTCTTTGAGCGTACTTATAATAAGTGTTACAAATGTTTTAAATGAGACGATAAAGTTTTGTTGTTTAGCAATTTCTTGTAAATTATAGGCTGGCGTTTGATGCTCGTCACAAAGCATAGTATGGCTTAAACGGGCTCTAGCGTATCCGGGGCATTCCTGAACCAAATTACTGAGCGTCTGTTGCTGTCGCCAGTAAGAAATTACGTCATTGCAAAAGAAACTCCGAAAAGTTGCGTCTAAACTTTAGCATCCTCCGAAGATTGGAGGAAAGTCGTAGTTGTTGATCCATTTGACGCATTAAAATATTCTTGTTGCCAAGCTGCTGCCGTTTCTAAATGTATTTGACTTTTAACGGAACAAATAGCGCATTGAGTGAATGCCATATCATCTGGCGAGGCTGCCGCTTTTTTGAAGTAGCTGTCAGCTATTTCATTGCCTTCTATTGCAACGTGCGCTTAAATCTAGTAAAAATGTATGGAGTGTGTCAGTCGAAGTTGAAATGGACGTTCGTGGATAGATGCTATGGGGGCATGGTATTGCTACGATCTTTTATTTCTTCGAGGCAAGATTGACTGTCGCAAAAGATTTGTAGCTTTAATTCGTCGGGATTTGTTTGGGTCCATGCTAAAGCGCAGTCTGTTTCGAAAACTTCCGCTTGAAATACTGTACAAAAACGATGTAGCTTGAACTTTCGTCCTCCCATCGTCCATCACGGTGATGTATGACAAATGCAGCACCGCACTCCCCAGCTTCCTGTTTGCTGCTATCTGCATATATTTGTATGGCATTATGGTCGAGAACGTTACTTGTTTCATCCTGAGTTTTCACAGTGCCATACTTGATTGTTTGGCGAGAGGCAGGATGCAGCTGCTGGATGGAAATATCCTCTGAAGGTATTTTGAAGGTTTCGGACATCTTGATTTTATCTATTCTCAAAGTTTCTTCTACTTTGAGATGTAATGGAACAAAGTTTGCCAGGGCTAGTGCTGAAGTAATCGAGATGATGTGGAATGCCCTGATTGCTTAGACTGTAAAGCTTCTTTTAAATGCCCTTAGCATCCGACAGACATTGTAATACTTTGTAGCTCTTCCCCAAATTGCAGCAGTTTATATGACAGTTGGCTAAACGACCTGCCTATAAAGTATAGCAACATTTTCAGAATGTATGCCCCATGTAGGTCGCACAAATATGCAGCGATCTTTAAATGTACCCTGAACTTTGTCGATGACGTATCGTGCATGTTTGCTGAACCTGAGGTGATTATCGATGATGACGCCAACTTTCATCTCCTCAACAAAACTCAAATTAGCGCCATTAATCGTAGTTTCTGCTAGTTTTGCTTTCTCGTAAAAGCCATAACTTTTGTTTTTGCTTCACCAAAAGCTATTTTAACGTCGATTCCCCATTGATGTATTCAGGGCCGGATTAAGAATGTGGGGTTATAAAGTCTCAATCTCAAACTATTCTTTCAGAAAAAAAAGTATAGTTTGCAGTAGATAATTATAAGGTTAGAGAATAAGATGACGCATTGAATAAAGTAACAAGGGAATAAGTACTTCAAATTTAATACATGTTCACAGTATATTACACTAAAAAAGGATACTCCTTTACTGAAACTACTCTTTCCGTGATTTTTTTGCTGCAAATACAGCAATGATATCATCGAAACTTAGTTCGCGCAGTATATCTCTTTCGGAGCTCAAGAGAACCAAATGCACAAGTCGGTTTTCACCCATACATGTTCGAAGTCGACTTTTGATTAATTTCATCTTGAAGAAAGATCTTTCACTCGTGCAATTTTAGATTTAATGGAGTTTCGCGAAATCTGTAGTGAAACAAGATATGAAAATTGTTCAGGTATATGAAAAAGGTTATAGAATTTATTCCCCAAATTTTGAAAATATTATAGTGCACTTGTGAAATATATCATATATATAAGACTTTAACTGATAACATTTCATCTATTTTTAATGTGATTGTGGGCAAGAAGTCAATTTCATTAAATCTGAGCGAAATATAAACATTATATGAGTAGTACATTACATAGGAAGATTCGGAATATAAACTAAGTTGATTGCAAAATAAAATGAATTAGGATCAATTATTATTAGGTATGAGATGGAAAAAGATCAATTGTTTGAACAAAGAAAAGTGTACGAGTTCGTATTGCATAAGAAAGTGTATAAATATATATTGTGTGTTCTAAAAATGTTGTTGTTGTTGTTGTTGTTGTTGTTATACAAATAGAAGGTTTCAAAAGGGCTCCGATTGCGTAGCCTAAGCTTCGCACAATAAACTTCAAGTTTAAAAAAATTATAGAATTGGATAAGTGCTTCACAAGTTGCGATTACATCGCAGAGTGTTCACCTTCTATTATTTTATTAAAATATCTACATTTCAGAGAAATTCTTTAAACCATTATTTTCTATTTTTTTATCATTTCAATTTTTTTTTACATTTTTTATATTTTTATATACATATTCATTTCATCTTGTGGGGGCCCTCCAAATGTGGGGGCCCCAGGCCGCGGCCCCGTCGGCCCTGCTGTTAATCCGAGCTTGGATGTATTAGCTGCATTGAAGTATTAGTGTTTCTTTCAAGCTCTTCTACAGATTTAGCACTTACAATAAGAAGGACATCGTCTGCGAATGCTTGAGTAACGTAATCGTTGGGCAAAGGCAATTTCAACAGATCGTCTAAAACAGTGATTCTCAAAGTGGCCCAGGGGTCCTCGACGGGGGTCTACGTTGGCGTTAAAAAAAATATGGGGGTCCACGAGTTGTAAGTGGGGGTCCACGAAAATTCATCTGGTTTCGATAGCAAAGAACCAAAATGGTTGCTTGATAGCCTATTTATTTATCTTTAATTATTTTGAGTGGTGTAAAGGGCTCTTGACGCCCTGGTAAACTTACCGTAACTTTGTGTCATCATACGTGGGGAAGCCTTAAAGGCCACCTGCCGACTAAAAAGAAACGGATATTAGTATAACACTGAGTGAGGCGATACGGAAATTGGCGGTGGCAGATATTTGAACACTTGTGTCTTTTCAATGCTACAGGATAGTACGCCACCATAACCTTTGTTGAAGAGATTCTAGAGAGAGAAAGTTCCCT